AATTTTTTCAAATTGTAATTAGTGAATATTATTAAGAATTGGTTTAATAAAATCTTTAAATAAAACCCCAAATAGAACAAAGCCAAGTAAAAAATGATTTTTGAGTAGCTTTTGTAAATCAAGTAGCATATTTTTAATAATTAAATAAACCCCTTCTAATGAATAATATGAATTACGAAATATTTCAAAATCATCGAAGTAGATATCAAGAAAAAACTTTTTAATAGGCATTGGTTATGGTGGTAATAGTAGAATAGGTATATATTTATAAGGAGCTCTGTGCTTTTTAATAAGATCACGAATATGCTACTAACTATTAAAACTATATAATATTTTAGTTACAAAATATTCATATTCTACTAGCCTATCAAGATCTTTTAACCAAATATTAATTTGAGTAATATTTTTAGATATAATCAAATACTCTTGTCCTTCAACAAGCCAAAGTTTTTCCATATTCATTTTATATACTTTTCTATTCATACTACACAAGTATCTAGGAAGCCCAATATATAGAACAAGCAGATCAGCTCTGAGTAATTGCCTCTTATTAATTTCAACAACACTACGAATACATACAAACTTAATTGCTTTGTCTTGGTTATAATGTAAAAAATTGTCTGCTTGATAAGTAACTAATAAAAAAAAGACTAATTAGTATAGTAAACCAGAGTACTAAGTTTTATTATTGCTAAAATAAAAAAAACTGCTAATTATTATTTATATAAAGTTTAGTTTCTCCAAATAAAAGCAAGTTTTGCCAGAATATACCATGTCAAAACTCATGTTTTTTATCATATACAATACCAGGACCAAAGTATAAATTAAGTACAATTGTTAGATTATTAAGAATATATTCAATATAATCTACTAGCATTATTGAATATACAGGTTTGGTTGAAGCTAAATTTGATAGGGTATGCTGTCTAGAAATTGGAACTATATGACTCCAAACCTTGAGTATCATAAATCACTAAAATAAGCATCTTCTAAAAATAAGCATACCCTATGATAATCATTAATCTTCAAAAATAAACACCCCCTAGCCGAGATCATCCGTAATTGGTCAATTACTAAAATTTATTCACATATATACCGCAGATATAATCTGACTTTAAATGAATTATTCAGAAGAACTAAATATACTTTTCACTCTATATGTTGTTAAAATAATTACAGCAATAGAGAATATTTATGAAGGTCAGCTATAGAGCATTTTTTTAAATTTAGTTGTTACTTATACTATATAAGAATCTCTAAAACAAAATAAATAGCTTTTTTTTATAGTTAGATCTCTAGTAAGCAAGTTTGTTTTCAAAATTGATAGTATATTTAGATTATATTTTATATTTGTTAGACAAAGCCTATAGATTTTAATATTGATGAAAGTCAAAACTGGGTTTAACTTTTATAATCTTCAACCTAATAAGTAAAACTAAAAAAC